CCTTATCACTAAAGTTAACCTTAATCTCTCACTAGTTTCCTCTCATCTTCTCCTCTTTTGAGCACCTCCCCTTATTGCAGCCTTCATGGCTCTCCTTGACAATCTCCTTGACAATCCTCATTCTTTACAGCCAGCTCAGAGTTTGTCACTGAGGTAGAATTCTGAGCTTACTTTCTCAGCATTTTATGTTTCTTTTACTTTCTTATGCTAGCATGTGTGACACTGCAGGTCTGTGATAGTGTCATTTACATGTGAGCAACAAAGAGACAAAAATATGGGCAATTGGAGAAAGATAAGTTTCTACTCTGTTAACTCAGTGCTGCCACATAAACCTATGGTAATTTATGACAGGGTTGTGTTTTCTGATTTAAGCAAAATTGTGAACTGGTTAGAGACATTCATCAGTCAGTCTTTACACAGATCAGACCCTGTGAGACACGCTAGTGAGCTAAAAATTATTGGGCATAACTCAGCAGCATGAAAGGCTGCAGTGACTGCAAGTGTAGTGAATATAGTGGAATGGGAGTTTCACAAATCCTAAATGGTGTCCTTGTAAAAGTGCAGCTTTCTTGTGCACTGCTTCACAAAGTGGTGCAGAATAATTAAAGCATTTCTGGTTGCTAACGTTGTTGAATGAATTGCACATTCCTTCTGCCATGATACAAAGGATAAATGGGATTCCCAAAGGTGCAACAACCAAGGATTCCCAAAAATTTGAGGGTAGGGAAACCTAAAGTAGCAGGTTCAAAATGTCACAATGTAATGCAAGCAAAATGTCTCCTCAAACCATAAAGTTCTATATCTGGCAACTTGGTTGAGGCCAAAGAATAGTTTAATGAGAATGCCCAGTGTATGAAATGAATTAAGGCTTCATATTTTAATTATTGTCAACTACCCTAACATATTTCCCACTTAGATAAGAAATTATCCAGAAGAAACACTTAAAAATTAGTGCCTTTTCACTTTCTGCGGAGTAAATTTGGAACTGAAAGAAGCAAAAATGGAAGTGAAGTAGTAGAAAAGTGTAAGGTTCAAGTTGTACTCAGTTGAGAAAAAGTTGTCCTCAGTTAAAGCAAGATACAAAATAAAGCCACAGGAAAGGAAAAGGAGTTCAAATACCTTAGGCCTCAAATTTAGATCTTAGATTGTGAATTGCTTCACCTGCCTGAATCAAATTAAGCTCAACTTCTTATGGCCCAACTATGGTTTATTAGCATAATTCAGCAGGAAATTTATAGTAATACCAAGTGTGTAAATATATTCTGATTTCTGTTTTAGTGCATGTATATACAGGTATGTACAGTCTTGAAAGTGAACGTTAACAGGCTTTATTAAAAATAGTTATATACAAGGCATGGTTACAATGGACATTTTCTGGAACTGTATGCACTCAGGCTCCTGATCCACATGATCTGATGTCACATAACATAGATCCTTAATCACGTGCTTAGTAGTTATTCTTAGAGTAAATGTATAGTTAACTTTTTACTTAACATCTCCTTCAATGTTATTTTACACTGCTCCGTTTCAGTTCTAAAATTTAACCATGAACTATGAACTCTTTATTCCCATTTATCCCCTCCCTCGCTTTCAAGTCCATTTAGATGTTGATTTCTAATAGTATTCTCAGCTTCCTTGGTGAGCATATAGGATGTATGTTCACTTTTATCATTCTTTGGGAAGGTGAATGCAGAGGTGGAATGGACTAGCATCTTCTCTGTAGACAGCAACATTTCCAAAACTCCATCAGAAAGTAAAAGTGCTGATGAGAAACTAGATTTCTGAAACAGAATCTGTGCAAGTTCCTGCTAGCACTGGGGTCTGCTGGCTGAATAGAAAATTTGTTTACTTTCTCACGATTTCTAAATCATTTATAGAGTTTTTAGTGTCATACAGCACAGAGACAGATCCTTCGGTCCAATCAGTCCATGCTAAACATAATCCCAAACTAAACTAGCCACACCTGCCTTATCCTAGCCCATATCCCTCTAAACCTTTTATTTTCATGTACTAAGTGTCTTTTCAACATTGTAACTGTGCCCACATCCACCACTTCCTAGGAAATTCATTCCACACGTGAACCACCCTCTGTGTAAAAAAATTGCCCCTCATGTCCTTTTAAATCTCTCTCCTGTCACCTGAAATATATGGTCCCTAGTCTTGAAATCTCCAATCCTAGGGAAAAGACACCTACCATTGACCCTGTCTATACGCCTCATGATTTTATAAACCTCTATAAGGTCACCTCTCAACTTCCTACGCTCCAGTGAAAAATGTCCCAGCCTATCTAGCCTATCTTTATAACTCAAACCTTTAATACCAGCAACATCCTCTTCTGAACCCTCTCTAGCTTGATAAATACCATTCTTATTCTGCCAGTGCTCTCTATCATTAATCAGGGTTTACTTTTCCATGATAATCTTCTGCAAACTTGATTTTCTCTCTCTTTTAAGAGGTTATTTTTTAAACCTAGACCTTCATTTATTCATTCATTGTAGCAGACTATTTTCCTAAGCGAATAGTTTTAATTATCTTGCTGCTTGAATATTTCTGTAAGAGAGACTTTGTCCTCCATAAATTATTTTGTATGTTTGTGTCAATTGTATGAGAGCACAGGCTGCCTCTATGCAGGAATTTTAGAAATCTTCTGTAACTCTTTATTTCTATTCTTCCAAGCTTAATAACACTTTGTGACTGCTAATAGCTGGGCTTTTACGTCAGCAGTCTCTTTGAGGTGGTCGGTTTGTTCCAATCTTTGGTTAAGTTTGATTTATATTAGCTCCTTTTGATACTTAACTTCAAGCTTCACCAAATATTCTGCATCACTAGAAGTTTTATAGATTAGTTCGCTAGGTAACGGATGAAAAACTCTTGAGTGTTTCCATGGCTGTTAATGAGACCCTTTCCAGCTTTCAGCTGCCAATCATGTGAATCAGTAATTTCTACACATTGAATACTGCCATGTTTCAACTTAAACTTAACCATTTCCTGTTCTCCGGATAGCTATATATTAACTGTTAGCAGTTTTGAACTACTACTTAATGGGGTGCTTCTAAGGTTTAAAGTCTTTCCTCTAAATGTGTCATCTTCATATTGGTGTTCTCTGTGCACAACTGTAAAGACGTTTTGTATAGAGTTGCCTTCTGCAAATGTAGTTGGAGCATCATCTGCTCTTCTAGAAACTCCATGAATTCATGTTGTAGCTCCAAGGCTTCTTTCCTGCACGATTGAAAACCCTTCCTAACTGTAATCTAAGACATCTCAAATGTTGTGGCAACTTTGCTGTCTGTAGAAACATTCGAGGCTTTGCTTGTGTTCTTCCATCATTGAACTAATATAAGGCCTTCTCCTGTAATCCTGCAGGGAACAATTTCTTCAACTAACTGTTTCCTGCAGTTGTTACATATTCCGGTTGGTTATGTAAAATGGATAGATAATTTTCCCTCTTCGTTACTTACTCCGACAAAGCAATAATGTTCCTCAAAAGAAACAGCAGAGACTTCATGAATAGTGTGCTTGAGTCCAAGACTACAGGAAGGTTTAAGGTCTCTCCTCCACTAAATGAACAACATGAGTGGTGGGTTCCTTCTTACAACAAATTAGGGTCTAGTGATTGCTCACCTTCATCGTTAGTGCCTTTTCTCCATCATTTGGAGCCTCTCTTTTGAGAGAAATGAAGGGTCTGTATTATCTTCTTGTCGTCTTATGGCTGGAATGACTGTAGTGAAAAGTAATTCCTAGTACAGAGTCAACTTCAATGTCTTTGCTGTCTGCTATTGATTGAAAAATATTCAAAGCTTTATAAAGCTCCACTTAATTAAAAAAGATTTTAAATGACATACAAGGTTTCTATGATATGTATTCTATTATAGCAAGTTTAGAATGCATCTGACTGCTCTCTGACTGTAACATCTCCAAAGTTCCAAAGTTTAACTAGAATCATCTGAAAATTTTTGGCTTTGACCATGGTTTAACATCTGAAAGAATAGATACATCTACCCTGTATCAAATTTAAAATTTAGCTTTCTTGCTGTTAACTACAATATCTGCACACCAGAATTTGTCTTAGGACTTTGAAAAATCAATGGGCCTATTACACTGCCCAAGAATAATTCATTCTGCTACTCAGTGTCCTCTAAAATCTAGGCACTTGAAAATTTCTCTGGTCTATTTTCCCTTTTTTCTGTGCTGACAATACAACTCTGTACTGGTCTTAGCAATCATGACCCTCTATGATACTGGTTGGGCTTAGATTTTCCTAGTTTGCTCCCTCAGCCATGTTCTGTATTTCACACACTTTCTACTGGACAACCCTCTGAGTGCTTGATTCTTCCTAATCCCAATTTAAAATAAAACCTTCAGCTATTGGAGTATTTTACTCACTTTAGCTGATTAATTTCCTGTTGCTTGCTCTGTTTTTTGCTGTGGGATTTCTCCTGTTCTTTTTCAGCATTTCCTTCCTGTGGTCCATGTAACTAGGTGAGCATGTGCCTTGGTCTTAAAGTCCATTGCTTGATGCTATGTGACTCTGCTGAGCTTCTTTTCAATTCTCCTCCACCTCTGTGTTTGGATCACTTGGCTGGCCTCATTCACCTGCAACACTGTGCTGTCTTTGGGTATCAGTCCAGGCACTGCTTGCCTTTTGCCTTAGGGGTCCGGTCACTGTTTGACACCATGTAGTATGATCAGGTGTACACTATTGGAAGTGAAACTTAATAGACTTTATTTAACATAACAAAGGATGATAAGAGAGGACAACATCTGGAATCTTACAGAATCAGGTTCCAATTCCAAATGATCTTACATCACTCTGACACTTATGCACATCCTCAGTGGCTGTTTATAGTGTAAAATCATAGTTAATCTTTTATTCCATAATATATAGACATGGGTTCATAATTCTAGTCTGATTTTGTGTATGTACAAAATTTACTACACACACCTTCCAGTAATATGCAAGTGCATCAAGTAAACCAATGCAATTAAAGCAGTGTCTTTTTTGCTTCTATAGATCAGGAATAGAAATTCGACTTCTCGACTGCACAAACACTGTGAAAAATGTTATAATCGGCACTGCAAAAAGACTTTTGAACCTACTGTTTCCTGTTTGGTTATCACTTGCTCTTCCAAGTGTGGTGCTGTCTTTCACCAGTGTAAGGAGGATGAACACACACTACTATGTCCACTGGAACAAGTACCTTGTCTGAATTCAGCCTTTGGCTGTCCCTTTGTTATGGCACGCCACAAACTTTCCAAGCATCTTTGTGTTTGTCCTGCCAGCATTGTGTGTTGCTCAATGCAATGGAACCGCTGGCCAGCTAATGAAGATGACATTGCAGTAAATAAAAGTGCTGTCAAAGATTCCTTGAATCCAGAAGACTTAGACTTTGGCACTGCAATGACAGATCAGAGGATTCTTTTCAATTCAGTGAAGATGGCCGAACTTTTCCCTGAGATGGCTGAGCCTGTTGATGAAAATGAGTTGGATTTGAATGAAGAAGGGGCAGTGGGAGGACAACAAGTTAATTTGACAACTTTGGATGGGAATTTTAATGAAAGAGGTACAGAAATAAATCAAGATGGATTAGATCAAGTCTATACAGATGTGGCAGAAATGGCTGAACCTACCCAGGAAGAACAAATTGCTACTGCAGAATCCAATCAAATAGAATATTTGTCTATGTATTCTACTTGGGAGCATATTTTCAGTAAGGATAAAGGTGGTTGTGCCTCTGAACAGAAAACCAAAAAAGCTGAAAACAAGCAAAGGAGTGAAATGTCATCAGTTTGCACCAAAAGTAAGAAAAGTTCACCTGAAAATAAGACCAACATACCAGATCCAGCTTTGTTAGCATCGATTGAAAAGACAGGTGAAGCTCCTTGGCAGGAAGGTGTTCTAGAAAGACTAGAAACTCGGATGGATAGAAAACACTTCAATATGTACTTGGTTCATCATGGCAGTATGCTTATTCGATTTGGCCAGATGAGTGCATGTACACCCAAAGAAAAAGATTTTGTTTATGGGAAGCTGGAGGCACAGCAGGTTAGAACCGTCAATACTTTTAAAGTTCCTACCAGTTATCGTGCCAAGCGTGGACATGTTGGAGAAACATTATTAAGTAAGATTAAAAAGGAGAACAAAGCTGTGGACACTTCTGACCTGGACACAGAGGATTATTATAATGATGAAGTGACTATTTCATTGCTTTGTTATTTGGAAAATGTTCTAAAAGGCCACAGTATATCAGAAAGAAAAGTCACTGATGGACTGACCATTGATTTTGCAACTCAGACGTATTCTTTCCCTTCCTCTCCTTTTAGCCGCGATGTAACTTTGGCTGATGTAGCAGCAGACAAAGCTTCTCGTCTATATCTTCAGCTCCAGACGGAATGTATCACAAAACGATACAATAATTTGAATTCTGTCTTTACATTTATGTGCTACCATTTCTTCAGGCGAGACGAGTTTTCATCGCATTTCAGGAATGTGCATGCTGATATTCAGTCAGGCCTGAGTGGCTGGATGGTACAGAGATGTCCTCTTGCTTATCTTGGCTGTTCCTACTCACAAATGAGATTCTGCCCTTCCAATCAGAAAGCTAAAGTGATCTACAATCAACATCAAAGTACGTTTGCAGTCAAACCAGATGTTCCTGCAGTTCTATGTCAGCACAGTCACAGAGATTCAGAAGTATGGAAAAGTAGAAAAAGTGGGCTCAGCTTGAGCACTCTTCCATCTGAGATACTGAGGTACATTGCAAGCTTCTTGGACAGCTATAGCCTAGCACAACTGTCCCAAGTGTCTGTATTGATGAACGCAGTCTCTTCCACTTTACTGCAAGAGCATGGCATGGTCTTTCTTGTCTGGGAAAAGAAGAGTTACTCACATGGAAGCTTCTCTTGGCGAGCTCGAAAACGGGCAAGTATATTACTTCATCTTGATCACTTAAAATTATAAAGAAAAGTTAAAATGTTCCATGGCTTCCTTCCTGCTTCTGTGATGTTTAAATTGCTGCCTGCCATTTACATAATTAAACTTAATTTGGTGAAAAATTAATAGAAACATAGAGAGCAATGGGAGCTTTTAAGAATTCCAACTGTGCTAATAATCTTTTAAAAGCCCATTTATTTTCCTTTACTGGCATGGCTAAAGGGAGAGGCTGAATAGGCTGGGGCTATTTTCCCTGGAGTGGCAGAAGCTGAGGGGTGACCTTGCAGACATTTATAAAATCATGAGGGCATGGATAGGGTAAATAGACAAGGTCTTTTCCCCAGGGTGGGGGTATCCAAAACTAGAGGGCATAGGTTTAAGGTGCGAGGGAAAAGATATAAAAAGGACCTAAGGGGCAACTTTTTCACACAGAGGGTGATGGGTATATGGAATGTGTTGCCAGAGTAACTGGTGGAGGCTGGTACAATAGCAACATTTAAAAGGCATTGGGATGGGTATATGAACAGGAAGGGTTTAGAGGGATATGGGTCAAATGCTGGCAAATGGGATAAGATTTACATAGGATATCTGGACGGCATGATGAGTTGGACCGAAAGATCTGTTTCCATGCTGTACATCTCTACGCCTCTATGACTGTAAAAGGAACAGTTAAGCTTGTGAATTGAATGTCACCCATTTCACTGGCCTCAACAAATTAAGCACAATGAATTCACAACAGGTCTATCACATAATGGCAGTTTATTCTGCGGACTTTCTATGTTAATGCCATATCCCTTGATTAGCTCATTTATCAAACACATCCTGTTTCTTAATCTTCTGTCACATACATAGCACCAGTGTGCTTAATAAACAGTCTGAGTAAGGCTTCCATAATCATACTTCATCCTGTGGTGAATAGCATTCCTTTTTAGTTACTGGAGCCAAACACTACAATTTACGTTACTCTTCAAATACATCAATAATGCAAAAAAAATTTGAATAAAGTCAATTTTTATTGAATTATTGCAATGTGATTTTTAACAGAATGTTATTTCTACAGAATTATTACTCATCAGTTTCAATTTACTATGCTGTCAATTCCCATACCCAAAGCAAACTTGACAATCAGCTCAAATCTAATGCATGCAGTTTGTCTATTTTTTATTTAAATTTGCAAATATACACTTCACCGCATACTTATAAAATTATTCCATTATGTAATTTGATAAAGTTTTATGCTCTTTGCAGCTATGTGAGATCATGTTGGAAAGAGAGCCTTTACCTGTGCTCAACAATGGTTAGTCCAGGGAATCATTGCCTATTTGAACATGATGGCATTGGGGTTAGTAGCTAGATTAATTTGTTTTCGTATTGTTTTCGTATTGACCAAGCAGAGGGCAGGAGATAATCAGAGGTCCAAAAGTCAACTTCCTGTCCAAATGAGGTTTAAAATGTTGCAAAATTTTTGTGGGTATCTTTCAAACTACCTCTGGAAAATTTGCGAAAACAACAGGAAAATGCATAAATGGCCATTTAAACTGATTTTCAGAATTTCCAACAAGCTTCTGCCTGAGTTATGAAAGCAGATCAAGGAATTCCCAAAGCAAATTTACCTCATGAAGATGTCTTTCCTATCTTAAACTTAGAGGTGGGATATTGAAGTGACAGAAAGAGTACCACATAGCTTCACAAATTTGGTATAAAATATGCAGATGTGAAGAAACATCACTTACGAGAATACCACTATCTTACTGAATGTTAGAGCAGACAAGAAATTTCTAAATATTAGCATTTACTACTTTATTATGTGGCATGTATGTGCAAAATGATATCCCAAATCTCCAGGTCGATGTTAATCGTTGTAGCCTTTTCTTCTTTTTCCTAATCTTTCAAATACTCAGGGACTTTTTCAATCATAAACTCAGCACGCCCAGCAATACTGTAGCATTATATGATGTCATGGCGAATCATTTTATTTATGGGCTACATTCCTGCTATCTTTGAGAAATTTATTCTACTTGTACTTCTCTATGTGTCCTTACATACTGTCAAAATTCAGCACAAACACATGATGTTCTTAATACTTCACAGCATTAACGAAAATACCAGAAATGCTCATAGACCAAAATGCCATGAAAATAAATATTATGGTTAATGAGAAAGTAAATTAGTTTTCAATGATCAAACAACAAAAACCTGACAATTTGAGGATCCTGTTTATTTGTTGTCCCCCACTAAAGCAAACATTGATGGTATATGGTGACCTTCAGTTAGCTCACTTCTATCTCACTTCTACCAATGCTGGTTCAAAAATAACCATCCTGATTGCACTATAGCTTAATCTGAGAATAGCAACTCATGGCATTCAGATATTTCAGTCTGCTGATCACATGCATTCTCTCAACTTGTTTTATTCGTATCAATTGATAACAAAGCAGGAATAACTTTACTGATAATGCATTGAACCATTTCAATATGGATAATTTGCCTTAGAAGGGTTCACATCATTAGAAAAAGCTATGAACAATGTGTCCTATCACTGATTCTGGCATAATAATGTTAAAGGGGAATTTAGAATAAAGACGCTGGGCCCCAATGACTGTGAATAGCGTTTTATTAGGGCCTGCATTTTGAAGCATGATATTGATAAAGGGCATCAGGACTCACCAGTATTATGGAAAAAAATGGATATGTGTAATGAAATGAAGAAATCCAGTTGCTATCCAACTTAACTGCTTTGCCACAACCTGCTCAACACAGCTGATAATTTCAACATTTAAATATGTCTAAAAACATGAAGCTGTGGTACTTGCTCACAAGATACTAAGTAAACTCTGCAGAAATTTTAGGGCTTATGCATTCAAGTGTGTAAATTCTTGCAGCATTTCAATTGATTGTTACTTTTAATGAAGCTATACATTGATACTTTGATTGTTTTTTTAAAAAATTGGATGAAATTCAAAAACTGCCATTTAGGATTTAGTCTGATGTAAATGATCAATACAGGTTTCTGGTTTACTATTTCAGTAACACGATCATTATATCTCTCACTAGTTTGAATTTATCAAATTAAAATATATAACCTCAATAAGGTTAGCGTTTCCATTACTACTGTTGACTATCCCTCTTGAATTTCCTGTTATTCTTTCAAGCTCTCAACGAGCGCAATTGTGGCTGCACTTTTGGTGGAGAGTTTTCTTCCTTTGGAAGATACGAAAAACAATTAGTTGACAACTGCTAGCAGTGGGTCTGCTTGAAAGCAGTCTTGTTTTTGATTCAATACAATGTGTTTCTCCAGGATTCCATGAGTATCTTGATTTGAAGCACAAATGCAGAGAGACATTTCAGGAATTCATGATTTTGATATTCCTCATGTAATCACATTTGCCTCATAGTGGTGAAGCAGTAATCTTGCCAGGAGACTGTTAACTTTTACTGCAACATGATTTTGATGATAGTGGAGAGAGTGGTATGCTGTAAATTAGTTGCACAAGCTCTAGTATGTTCACTCCAGTCTAATATCCAGCCCATATAAAATTATGCAACGCCAACTTGTTTTGACAATGTGCCAGTGCTAAACTTTGAGGGTAGGGTTTCTATTGTAGACACAATTGAAAATTGCACTTGAAATAGTCCTTGTTAAGTCAAAGATAACACAGTGTGGAGCTGGAGGAACACAGCATCAGAGGAGCAGGAAAGTTGATGTTTCAGGTCGGGATCCTTCTTCAGAAAGGGTCCAGACCCGAAACGTCAACTTTCCTGTTCCTCTGACGCTGTCTGGCCTGCTGTGTTCCTCCAGCTCCACACTGTGTTATCTCTGACTCCAGCATCTGCAGTTCTTACTATCTCCTTGTTAAGTTTTTCTATGAAAATCATTTGCTTAATCACAAACTAAAAAAAAAATCCCTGATGTAATGCTTCCTCAAAGTAAACGTAGTAATGTAATAACGGGGAGGAATGAATCTCAACAAATTGGGAAGCATGATAAGTATAATAGTTTCTTTAAAAAAAATCTTTCAAATATTTAAGATTGATGACTTATTGCTATTGTATTAAGAGAGCTGAAAAGGCTTTATCACCAAAAATTAGCACTTTTAGTAAAGGTGTCCTGTCCTTAAAAAAACAAAAGAATTGCAGATGCTGAAAATCAGAAACAAAAACAGAAATTGTTCGAAACATTCAGCAGTTCTGGCAGCATCTGTGGAGAGAACGCAAAGTTAACTTTTTGGGTCCAGTGACCCTTCTTCAAAACTGCGTTAAGTTCTGAAGGGTGACTGGACCTGAAACTTTAACTCTGCTTTCTCTACACAGATGCTGCCAGACCTGCTGAGTTTTTCCAGCAATTTCTGTTTTTGTCCAGTCCTCAACCAATGAGCAATAAGATTTGAAAACATTGCAAATGATTTAATAGAAAATCACACTGAACCATTCACTTAATGTAACTATTTTTAAACCTTGCCAGTCCATCTAGGAAAATCAGCAGAAACTTCCTGTGCAGACCTGGTGGTTTGACAAGATCAGTGGGGTCTGATTTGGGTGAATTGAATCTTGAATTAGTATAAATGATCATGAAAAATGTATGCATGAGTGGCTTTGAGTGGTTTTTAACATCACACTTAAAATTCCCTGATCTAATGAGATTCTTTAACCAATTCTATCTGCATGGTTTGGGCTGATATAACTAACAGAAGCAAGTGAAAATGGAAGCTTGTGGGGCATAAATGGTAACAAGTGTTTCTGAGTTAAATGGAATGGGACTCCTTCCTCTAGAGAATCCCATTTAGCTTTGGGCTCATTTCAAATTGTAAAACTTCCATTAATGTTGCTCAGAGATCATGAAAAACAAATTTCAAATTACGTGAAAAAAGTCATACTAGATTGCCGCCCTTCAACTCATACAATTTGCTCTTGCAAGTTGAACTTTGTACCAAAGAGCACTGATAAATCTGAATTAGTAAGATTCTGACCCTTTCCTTTTATTACAGAGGTGGCAGTTCAGCTCTGTCTTCTCTACTGTCGACAGTTGGAGGTTTAATGATAACCCCAGTATCGCAGAACATCTGAAAACCTGTCCATACTATGTGACAGAGAGTAAATCAAAGCCTGTAGCTCTCATCAGTATGTGCAAGTCTCCAGAGTTGAAACAAGAGAAAAAGACCCTTGTTACAATGTTTAGTAAGAAGAAAAACACAAATAGATTTTCCAACCTGATTGTATAAAGTTTTGACGTTTTGATCCTGATTTTTTTCAACTGTTTTATTTAATGCTCTTAATTAGCAAGTACGGAGCATACAGCTTACACTAAGGTTGTTAAAGTCTTTATATTTTAATTGCATTATGATACACTAATCTTTTTGAAGTTGAAATTGAAGAGAGGAATGATAATTTTGTAGCATGATACATATTTGACTGAAGGCTACAGCTCACATTTGTGTCATAAGGGAGGATGGACAAAATGTTTAAACCAAGACTTGCACATGAGAAATATGTGAAATGACTGTAGGAGTAAGTAGGACATGGTAATAATCTACTTACATAAGGAATTTGTTTTCAAGGTCAGAATCTGATTATGATCAGATAATTTAATGTTAGAATGAAGTATATTATTATTAGCACAGAACATGTAGTGTAATGGTAACGTCCGCATGCTCAATGCTCTGGTGACAGAAGTTCAAATCTTATCACAGCAGCTGGTGGAATTTAAATTCAATGAATAAAATCTTGAAGTAAAAGCTTGTCTCAGGAATGGTGACCATGAAATGATCATCAATTGTTGTAAAAACCCATTCAGTTCTCTGATGTTGTTAAGGGAAGAAAATCTGCCATCCTTAACCAGTCTGGCCTGCATTTGAATCTGTATCTACAGCAATGTGGTTGATGCGTAACTGCCCTCTGAAATGGCCAAGCAAGTCAGTTGGTTCAAATGCATTTAGGGATGGGCAAAAAATGCTGATCTTGCCAGCGATGCCACATTGCATGAAAGGAAAGAAAATTAGGCTTTACCCATTGCTGCAGTTCTCACTGGGATAAGTTTTATTGATGCTTTCTAGGGAGGGAGGTAACTCAATCAGATTTGCTTTCACACAACTTCTAGAGATTGTCTAGGAGCAGGATGCTTCCCAGTTAATTGCCTCTGTTATTGACTAAGTATTGTAAACGGTGGCATTGCAAAGTGATAGGTCGGCGCAACATCGAGGGCCGAAGGGCCTGTACTCCGCTGTAATGTTCTATGTTCTAAACTTCTTGATAAAGTTTCTGTTGTACTGACATGAAAAAAAATTTTTGCTCTCTAAGTGAAAATCATTTGTAATACTGAGATATCAAGAGGTGCCCTTCTAAAATTGAAGGTGGAGTGTGGGATGGAGTGATACGGTTGGGGGTGTGGATTAATGTGTTTAAAAGGAGTCTTTCTGTGCTTCAACTCCATGCTGTACTTAACTTCAGAATCTTTGTTGAGACTGGAAAAAGAATGTCCATTCATAGAACATATACCTCGCTCCTTAATTTCAGTAATTTTGGAAATGTTTTAAATTAAATCAAAATTATGTGATTGGGCAGAAGCTGTGCCTTTCCATCTCTTGACAATGGTACATCACACAAGAGTCCTAGTGGGATGCCCATCAAACCTTTTCACACTAATATTAGATTTACACAAAACAAATATGATTTAAAAATTGAGATTAGTGTGGTTGGTTAAGTCAAATACAAATAAAGCTGAAAGGTCTTTTATATTCCATGTTACTTACAAACTATTTGAATGTGCTAGTTGTGCTCAGTTGGTAGCATGCTTGCCTTAGAGTTAGAATGCTATGGAGTCAGGTCTGTCTCCAGGATACAAAAACGAGGCTGGTGCTGTACTGTGGTATTAAGGGAGGGCTGTACTGTCAGAAGTATTGTGAGATGTTACACCACACTCCACTGTCTCTGATGGATGCAAAAAATCTTATGAAACTGTTAAGCAGAGGTGGAGAGGAGTAATCCCTGGTGTTCTGGTCAATATTTATCACAAAAGTAACTTCACAAAAACAGATGTTCAATTTGCAATTATAAAAACAAAATAGTATAGTTGGGGAAACCTGGAATTTTAAAAAAAACATTTTGGATAGACTCAGGACGTCTGGCAACATCTGTAGAGAGAGAAACAGAGTTAATGTTTCAACTCAATGACTCTACTTTGGAACTGAGCCATTGAATTCCAGATGTTTGGGGAAGAAACCAAAAGGATTGATGAGGACTTTAGTAAAGCCCTTGACAAAGTTCTGCATGGTAGAATAATTAGTAAAGTTAGATCACATGGGATTCAGGGTGAACTTGCCAGATTGGATACAAAATTGGCTCGATGGTAGGAGACAGAGGATGGTGATGGGGGTTTGTTTTTTGGACTGGAGGCCTGTGACCAGCAGTGTTCCACAGGGATCAGTACTGGGTCTACTTTTGTTTGTCATTTATATAAACGATTTGGATGAGAATTTGGGGGGCATGGTTAGTAAGTTTGAGGATGACACCAAAATTGATGGTATAGTGAACAGTAAAGAAGGTTATCTAAGGTTATAAAGAGATCTTGATCAATTGGGGCAATAAGCTATGGAGTGGCAGATGGAGTTTAATTTGATTAAGTGTGAGATATTGCATTTTGGTAAAACAAACAAGGGCAGAACTTGTACAGTTAATGGTGAAGCCCTGGGCAGTGTTGTAGAACAGAGAGACCTATGGGTTCAGGTACATAATTCTTTGAAATTTGCATCACATGCAGACAGGATGGTTAAGAAGGCATTTAACATGCCTTCATTGCTCAGACCTTTATAGGATTTTGGTCATTATTTTGAGGTTGTACAGGACATTGGTGAGGCCTCTTCTGGAGTACTGTGTGCAGTTCTGGTTGTCCTGCTATGGGAAGGATATTATTAAATTGGAGAAGGTTCAGAAAAGAGTTACCAGAATGTTGTCCAGAATGGAGGGTTTGAGTTATAAGCAAAGGCTGGATTAGCTTGGACATTCTTCATAGGAGTGACCTTATAGAGATTTATAAAATCGTGAGGGGCGTAAATAAGGTGAATAGCAAGGGTCCTTTCCCTAGGGTGGGGGAGTTCAAAACTAGGGGGCATATTTTTAAGGTGAGAGGATAAAGTTTTAAAAGGGACATGAGGAGCAACTTTTTAATACAGTGTGGTTCGTGTGTAGATTGAACTGCTAGAGGAAGTGGCAAATGCAGGTACAATTACAACATTTAAAAGACATTTGGAAAAGTACATGAATAGGAAAGGTTTGGAAGAGTATGGGCCAAACACAGGCAAGTGGAACGAGTTTGGTCTGGGAGCATGGTTCGCGTGGACTGGTTGGGCCAAAGGATCTGTTTCCATGCTGTATGACACAGGCACACATGTTTTAAGAGGGTTTAGTACAATGGGAAGTTAAAGAATATATAATTTAATAAGTTCTTAGAATTCTCATTAGTGAGTGGCATCATTAAGTGCCTGGGAGAATTCCACCCTAGGATTGATTTGTAATATCAATGAGACATGGCTGATGTTGCTTGTGACCAGGATTATTCATCAACATAGTTGCTTACTGTGTGAGATTCACATGCAGAATTATAAAAGGCCTCACATCACTCACAAGTAGAGCTTGCTTCCTTAAGCAAAAAAATGACATAATATGTCCACAGTGGGTGTGATGACAGCTAGTTTTCATCACAATTGTGCATTTGTGATTTAGATGGAGTTGAAAGGCAACATGAGTAGCTCTTCACAGAGTGAGTTGCCGGATCAGTCTCTCAGTCCAAGTTTACTCCCCCCCGCCAAACCTTCATGAGCTTTTTTGCCTTGCAGTCTCCCATTTGGCTTGAGGCCTCCATGTTCAAGCCATCCATTTTTTTTTTAACACTTCACCTCCCCACTTTATCCCCTGAGCCTCAGGCATACAGCTTAGCTATTCCAAACATATTTATGCTGCATTCCTCACCAAAGCTGTCAATGATCCTGCCTCCTGAAGCAGATCTTGCCCTCTTACACCCTGTCTCCCACATTTATCTGGTGAGTCTCCCTTCACAAATATTGTCACCTCTGTGTTCTAGGTCACTGCCTCCAATCCCCACAATTGACTTTCCCAACATATCTACCACAGCCAAGGGCCTTGAGGAGCCCCCTTGACTTTCAATGAACAGGCCCTCTGGACTGACTGTACCTCGACTCCTCCTCCCCTAATTACTTGGAATAAAAGCTCCCTGACTGACTTACCATGAATCCCTAGGCTGGTTGAACTTGGGACTGACCATAGCCCACTCCCCAGGCTATAGTGAATGGATTCCCTGACCATGAACATACCAACTAACTGACTGACCATGTCTGAACTTCTGAACTTATATCAGATGATGTCCTTCATTGACTGTGCTAGTATTCCCTAAATGGTAGGTCCCCTTAACGTGACGAAGGATTACTCCCCTAGACTTTGAGACACTGTCATTTTGTTCAGACACATGCAATGTATTTGTTGTGTACATTGTTGGTATATATTACAGATGTGACATTGATGTGGCATGGTGCCAACGTATTCACGCCCCCACTTCAATGATCATTGCTAAATGGCAAGACAAGACAGAAATATTGTAAGGCTGTAGTTCTAAACGACGGAGCAATGCACAGAAGGGCAAGTCAGAGATGTGAACATCCAATTGGCACAAAGTGAGCGCTAAGAAAGTAACCTAAGAGCCCTGTGATGCATTCTTGGCCAACCTGAAGACTCAGAGAAGATGCTGGCAAGCTGTATTCAATAAGTAACTGCTCTGGGAATTGTTGTTGTCTAGTTTCTCTTTGCTGCCTGGGAAAATGGCAATCAATCTGGTCAATGAAGCAAGATTAGCTAATAATCAGATGTTAATACATGTAATTCAGCCAGTCGCTGCTACCTATTGAGACACCCAGCTAGCCATTAAAATCTAATGTAAAAATTTTTTTTTCTCAATGTCAAGAATCCCATTTTTTATTCTCACCAATTTTTTTCCAACTATCTTGCCTTGCCTGTGTTTTTCAGGACCTGGGAATATTCTGCCCGCTTTGTTGAAGTTTTTTTGTCTTGCATTATTATTTATTATATCTTTTATTATTTATTCATAGAATATTGGCCTCACTGCCTGGTCAGCATTTATTGCCCATCCCTAGTTGCCCCTTGAGAAGGTGGTAATGAGCTGCCTTCTTGAACCACTGCTGTCTATTTGGTGAAGGTACACCCTCAAATTAGGAGGGAGTTCCAGGATTTTGAAACAACATCATTGAAGGAGGGGTGATATATTTCCTTGGACGGTGAGTGGTTTGGAGGGGTAGTGGTATTCCCATGTATCTGCTACCATTGTCCTTCTTGGTGCTAGTGATCGTGGGCTCATAAAATTGCACTTCTGTCTGAGGAGGCTTGGTGAATTTCCACAGTTCATCTTGTAGATAATATGTAATTCATAAGAATACCAAAACAAAGTCACATTTATATTCTATGAAAAGAACGTGCTGATTTGTTGGCAAGTGGATTCTGATTTTTACTTGTGTTGCCATGAAATAACTGGTGCATTCTCCTACAATTTCCACTTTATTGGGAAGGGGAAGGAAATACAACTCTTTATGAAGGTACAGGAATTGTCATAGTGACTTGATATTCTTTGTCAGGGATGTGAAGCAACTCCCAGTCCATCTAAAGGAACAGCTGAAACTCAATTTCTCATAATGTCTTATTATTATAAATTTTTATGATATTACAAATAGGCTAGTTACCCATGCTAAATATTCGCTGTAACCAAAAATTGAGCTGTGAAACTTTATATTTCAATGATAACGAATAAAGTCTTAGCACAGACAACATTTTGTTCATTTTTATTAAGTAAGATGGTAATGGAAGGTCTTGTAGTGAAGCAGGTAGCATGTTTAACTAAGCCGGTAGCTCTGGTTTTGAGTTGCATTGTGGGACTTGATGGCTTTGGGAACATGCATTCATAATGCAGCCAAGTAGGCTAGTTATCATCCTATAAATCCTTTCAATATGCCTGTGGCAGGCATTAAGAGCAGAAGTGTCTCCTAGTCACCCAAGTTTGTGGCGTCACTCAAGGTATAGCCTTTGGCAATCTGTAAATCTAGACATGGAAACAGACATAAACATGTGCTCTGTCTGCCCATATGCCACTGGGCATGAATATTTCATACAATAGGAGATAAAGCAATTTTCTTAAGGACAGCAAATCATTAAAAATAATTTCAAAGCAAGTTGAAGATGGGAGACACAAAAGGAGTTGAATCAAGAACAAATCTAATTGAAATACTCACCCCAGATTGACCATTCTTAAACAATTGTTATGAGATCCACTGTTCTCAAGCTTATAATGAGGTCTATATTTATATAGTTCAGTCTTAAACAATAAACAAAGACCTATATATTTAAGTGAGTATGAAACGAATTTCACTTTGTAACATTATAACTTCCAAAAGATCCCTTGGAACTTGCCATAAAAACTCAAGACACGTGTCCTGGAGGAGCATTTGAGAGTTGCTCAGATAGCAGTCTTGAGATTTTGGGAGTATAAGAATCATAGAATTCTACAGTGTGGAAACAGGCCCTTCGGCCCAACAAGTCCACACTGGCCGTCGGAGCATCTCACTCAGACCTAGCCCCTTATAACCCACCTAATCTACACATCCCTGAATGCTATGGGCAATTTAGCACAGCCAATCCATCTAACCTGCACATCTTTGGACTGTGGGAGGAAACCCACGTAGACACAGGGAGAATGTGCAAACTCCACACAGACAGTCGCCCAAGGCTGGAATTGAATCTGGGTCCCTGGTGCTTAGAGGCAGCAGTGTTAACTACTGAGCCACCACACCACCCCAATTGTGCTGAAGTCCCACCGAGATGATCCCTCATGATCATTGCCAGCACCTTGTGGTGTTTTCCAGCTTGATCAGTATGTGGAGTGTGGTAGAATATTTGAAATAACACATGACTGCTAATTCTCCTTTGTCTTGGGTCTACCTCGCGGTTAGTGCAGAATAAACTACCGGAAAGAGTCTGCACTGTTCTTATATACCAAGACAATCTATTGCATGCTAACAAGAAGTACAACTACATTTGGTCAGGCAAAATGATTGGGAGCTTCAGGAACTGGTACAGATACATCTGCTCCCTCCGAACACTGGAGTCTACCTCCTGGGTGACATCAACAAAATGGGTGCAGCCGATGTAACACGCAACATTAACCCTCTTCCAAATCATTTACCGATACAGCAGGTGACGAAGATCCAGTTGAATTTGCTATTAATAGCTGTATTGGAAAAGCTTTCTGACGAAAATGACAGAATGGCACAATCGTTAGTACTGCTGCCTCACAGCACCAGGGACGGGGATTTGATTCCAGTCTTGGGTGACTGTGGAGTTTGCACATTCTCCCCGTGTCTGCGTGGGTTTCCTCCCTCAGTGCAGAGATGTGTAGGTTAGGTACATTGGCCATGGTAAATACTGGGATAGGGTGGGATGCTCTTTGGAGGGTCGGTGCAGACTCGATGGACCGAATAGCCTCTATCTGCGGTCTAGGGATTATAACTATCAAAGAAGCTGAGGCCTTCCAAATTTGTTCTTTTCTCCCTTTGAACAATTTGCAACATATTAAATATCATTCCTGAGATTCATTTGCCTCACTAAAATGGCTAACCGTTCACAAAGCAGCCAATATAACAACACGTTTACTAGAGAACTCTTGAGACCGACATTACTACAAGGACAACAGTCCCTCATCACCAAGAGAAGGTCAGCGGGGGACGGTTAGTCAGGCGGACTCGCCGGAAGTGGCTCTGGTGAGAATGGATTAAGCGGCGGACCCCGGGTTGAGTTTCCGGTGGCGGCCTGTTTGAAATTGATCAAGTGCTGAGTGGGACACACTCGGGAGCAGCGCTTCAGTATCTTTGTGCTTGTTGATCCAACTGGAACTGTACTGAAATATTAGAAAGATCAAAACTGAGGAAATAATCAGAAATAGATATAAATACTGAATGAATTCATTCACGGAGCAACGGCTGCCCGAGAGAAACTGACCCAGGGTCTGTGTGAATTTCATCTGTAATTATTTTTATTGTTTAATTATAGTGAGCAGAAATGGAATGTGATCCATTCACATAAAAGTGACTTACTAATGTTTTATAAACACGCACATGAATTTACAAATGTTGAAAGAGCAGAGAAGTCCATCTATTCAGTGCGGAATGTAGTCATTTGGAAGTCAAGGGTGAAAATCAGAAAGTCTTTCGAAGGCTCAGCATCAAAAACCCAGGCTGAGCAGCTCCAGAGTTCAATCCGCAAAAATGACCAACAAAGAAACTATTCCAGCAATCAAATGCCGACAAAGATTTATGGGGCAACATCGAATCCTCATTCAAAAGCGAAGGTAGGAAACCCTATTGTTTTTAGTTTAATTTAGAATGGCGATTTTGAGTGGTTAGTCACAGTTCCTGACAGTTCTTTACAAAAAATGAACCAGATATTTTAAACTTAATTTGTGATATGATTTGGATCTAGTTCTTTATGATTATTTCAGGCCTTTGGATTATTACCCCAGTACCCTACATGGTACAACATTCCATCTCATGGAAGATTTTAGTTTCAGCTGCAAAAGGCTCACATTTTCAACTCACATTATAATTTTGCAGAATGTTTGAAGACTTGCAGAAATCTTTAATTTTGTTTCTCTTTAATATGTTTCAAAAAGAAAATCCCAGCCAAAACTCCAAACGACACCACTGTTAGAGAATAGGAGGTTTGAACGTAACTTTCCTTACGATCAGTTGCGAAATAATGAGCAAACATGTGCCTTTTTATTGATTAGGACACCAGGTGATCTGCGAATGGGAAAGTCAAAACCGTTGTACAAAGGCTGTGAATCGGTCACACCGACGTTGCGTCTTCATTTCGGCGTTATTTCCCGTTTACTTGTGGTGGTTTACTAGTTCTTTACTGTACTTATGACATTCCTGAACTGAAGGAAAGTATCCTGCTTTAATGTCTCGGAATGACAGTGGGTGGTGATGAACATTGGAATTCTGATTTGTCCTGCTTTTAAATACATCCATCCTGATTCTAGCATTAAACGGATTAGTACAAGAGTTAATTTTTTTTCCTCTCTCTATGTCCAGCACCGTTGATTCCCATTCCCCAAACCTTCGCCGCTCCGGCCGCTTGCTGCAGCGAATTCACATGCCCGGTTCAAATAGGAAGGAAAATCACACCGGTGTAACCCAGGCTGAGGTAGGTTTTGCTGTAGAGAGCACTGAAAAAAAGCTATTACTTGATTTTGGACTCAAATATCTTTAAGTTAGAAAGCAAGCGCCTTTTACGAGCCATTCAATCGTTCGATTCTGCTCTGCTTTTAAGAACGTAGAACAGTACAGCACAGTACAGGCCCTTCAGCCCACGATGTTGTGCCGAACTTTTACCCTAATCCTAAGGTCTATCTAACCTCCACCCCCACCTTATACTATCATCCATATGTCTATCTAATAGCCGCTTAAATGCCCCTAATGAGGCCGACTCCACTACCTTCTCGGGCAATGCATTCCACGCCCCTACCACTCTGAGTAAAGAACCTACCTCTGACATCTCCCCTATATCTACCTCCACTCACTTTAAAACTATGCCCCCTCGTAATAGCTACCTCCACCCTAGGAAAAAGTCTCTGGCTGTCCACTCTATTTATACCTCTGATCATTTTGTACACCTCTATCAAGTCACCTCTCATCCTTCGTCATTCTAAAGAGAAAAGCCCTAGCTCTCTCAACCTTTCCTCGTAAGACCTTACCTCCATTCCAGGCAACATCCTGGTAAATCTCCTCTGCACCTTTTCCAACACTTCCACATCTTTCTTGTAATGAGGCAACCAGAACTGGACACAATACTCCAGATGTGGCCGAACCAGGGTTTTGTCTCGCTGGAGCATAACTTCACGGTTCTTGATCTCAATCCCTCTATTAATGAAAGCTAACACACCATACGCCTTCTTAACAACTCTATCCAACTGGGTGGCAGCTTTCAGGAAACTGTGGACATGAACCCCAAGATCCCGCTGTTCCTCCACACTGCCAAGAATCTTTCCGTTAACCCTGTATTCTGTTTTCAAGTTTGTCCTTCCAAAATGAATCACCTCACACTTGTCAGGGTTAAACTCCATCTGCCACTTCTCAGCCCAGCTCTGCATCCTATCAATGTCCCTTTGTAACCTAGAACAGCCCTCCGCACTATCCACAACTCGACCCACCTTTGTATCGTCTGCAAATTTACTAATCCACCCTTCCACTCCTACATCCAAATAATTTATCCAAATCACAAATAGAAGGGGACCCAGAACAGATCCTTGTGGTACACCACTTGTAACTGAGCACCATGTTGAATATTTTCTGTCCACTACCACCCTTTATCTTCTAAGGGTCAGCCAATTCTGAATCCAATCTGCCACATTTCCCCCATCCCATGCCTCCTTACTTTCTGCTGATCTGATCTTAATCTCAACTCTACATTTCTGCATCTCCCCTGATAATCTTTCTTACCCTTGGTAATCAAGAATTTAACTATTTATGATTTAAAAAAAATATTTAAAGGTTCTGCATCTATTGTCTTTTGAGTAAAGGAATTCCAAAGACTCAACCCTCTGATGAAAAACGATCTATATCACTGCTTTAAGTGGGTGCCCCTATTTTTAAATGAAGACCCTTTGTTCTAGATTTTCCCATAAGAGGAAACATCCTTTCAATATCCACCCAATCAAGTTCCCTCAGGATCTTATATATGTTTTAATTAAGTCACCTATGACTGTTCTAAACTCCACAGAATTTGTGTCTGGCCTGTCTAATCTTTTCTCATAAAGCAATCTGATCTGAACTGATTCCAAAGCATTAACATCCTTCCATAAGTATGGTGACCAGTACTGTAGACAGTACTCCAGTTGTAAGGAGTGGCGATGGCCTTGTATATTTATCATTAGACTATTAATCCCAGGTTCAAACACTATTGAAATTCTGTGGAATCTGAACTCCATTGAAATAAAAAGTCTGGGATTAAGGGAGTCTAATGATGACTTTGAAACTGTTACCGATTTTCAGAAAAACTCATTTGGTTCAGCAATTCCCTTTAGGGAAGGAAATCTGCCATCTTTACCCAGTCTGGCCTACATGTGACTGCAGACCCACAGCAATGTGGATGACTCTCAACTGCCCATTGGGCAATTAAGGATGGGCAATAAATGCTGGCCTGGCCAATGACGTCCACATCTTGTGAATGCATAAAAATATGCTCTCACCAATGTCTTGTATAACTGAAGTGTAATGTCCATACTCTTGCATTCACTTCCCCTTGCAATAAACCAGAACGTGATTACTTGTTATATGTGCATGCTAACCTTGTGTGATTCATGCACAAGGACAACTAGATCTCCCTGTATTTTGGAGCTCTGCAACCTCTCGGTATTTAGATAATATATTTCTTTTTTATTCTTCCTGCTAAAATGGACAATTCCTCACATTTTACTCCCATATGGCAGATTTTTTGCCTACTCACTTAAACTAACTATATCCCTTTGTAGGCTCCTTATGTCATCTCCATAACTCACTATCAACACACCTTTATAGCATTAGCAACTTTAGCTACGATACCTTTGATTCCTTCAGAAATTATAAAGTGTTGAGGCCCCAGCCACAAACCCTGTGGTACACCACTTGTGATATCTCGCCAGCCTGAAAAAGGCTCACTGATTCCTAATCTCTAATTCCTGTTTGCTCGCCAATCTTCGATCCAAGCCGATATGTTACCCACTACATTGTGAGCTTTTATTTTCTGCAAAACCCTTTGATGTGGCACCTTATCAAATGCCTTCTGGAAACCTAAGTACAATACATCCACTGGTTCTCCTTTATCTGTAGCACAACCTATTTCTTCAAAGAACTCCAATAAATTAGTTAAACATGATTTCCCTTTGACAAAACCAAGATGGCTTTACTTTAGACTGTTTAGGACACCTGAAATACTAACTTTTTGTTTGTCTTGCCAACACCAACAAATGAACATCTTTCTGGTTTTTGTCATGAATTGGTCCAGACCATACAATGGATTCCTGAACAGCATAGGTTTATGCTGCTGGACAATACACAAATACTTATGTTTTGTCTTCTGTTTACTTTCAGGTCCCTGCTAGTGTTAATCCATCATTTGGGAATACTGGCTTTGCTTCTGACCCATCCTTATCATTGGATGATGAACTCATACAAGCAGCAATGGATCTTGAAAGAAACTGGAATGCTGGATTTCCTGAAGACGATGTCTTAAAATCGATATGTTTGAACGATATTAAGGCAACATCCAATTCTGGTGGAGATGCAATTGAAGAAGTTAATACATATAATCCGTCTGGTGAAGAAAAGGGCTCAAGTTCAGCAGCAAGGGAACGTAGGAGTAACAGCGTGGAGCAGAAAACATTGCATAGAATGGTATCACCTAAAAACACTGAGAACTCATCAGTAGTTGCAGACATTAATCTTGATTTGTTCAATAAATCTTTACTAAGTGGCCGTAAAACATTGGCCAATGGACGCAAGAGGGAAAGACCTTTGTTTAGAAACAATCTAGATTCAGATACTTCAGTGCACCCTGCCGCAAAGAAAGTAGTAGTTTCACAAAAGTGTTTACCTGTCATAAATGGAGGCCGACAGCCACCTTGTATGCAAAAACATCAAAAAGCAAGACCTGTGGTTAAATGGCAGATTAGAACTTCATCTCAGCAAGATAGAACTTTGGAAACATCAAGCTGTTCCATCGTGCTTACTCCAAACTGTCAAAATCGGGTAGAAAAGAAGAAGCTTTTGCAATCTAATTGTTCCGTGCCTGTGCTGACACCACCTCCTGGCTTCAGTCAAAGTCTGTTAGATGGCAGCAAACTCAGTGTGACACTGACAGCAACAGGTACAGTCATAGAGTCATAGAGCTGTACAGCACGAAAACAGATCCTCCAGTCCAACTCATCCATGCTGACCAGATATCCTAAATAAATCCATCTTTTGG